ATCTAACCTCAGGCTAGGAAAGGTTTTTTTACACAACACGAACATAGTCTTAGTCACATGAGGTCAGAGTGAGTATTAAAAGATGAAGACATACAAAGATTCTCTGGGTCATTTATAATCAGTGAAATGTAAATTTAGATGACTATGAGATACCATTCTGTACTCCCTGGTGTGGCAAAAATGAAAGATTTTGATATAGACTGTTGGTGAACATGTGACTTTCGGAGAACAATGCAACATGGATGGTGGGGGTGTAATTTGATGCCACAACTTGTGAAAATGATTGGGTGTCATCTTGGAAATATGAACTCTGCCTTTCCTACGGCCCAGCAATTCTTCTCCCATTATGTACCCTAAAACTGTCTTGTACCTTACACCAGGAGATAGGCACAATAATATTTATTGTTCTATTTTGTTAAAAATGCTTTTATTGTGAAATGTAACACACTTCCGGAAAAGTGAAACACCTATGTAGTCACCACTAGGTAACAGAACATTTCTGTCTGCATTCACTATACTGAAAACCACTCATCATGTAACTACTCTCTTGACTCGTTTTGTAATAATTTTTTTATTTTTATTCCTTGTTTCATCAATTATGTATCCCTAAACATATAGTTTTCTTATGCCTGCTTTTGAACTTTCTATAAATGGAACCTTATACTATGTATTATTTTGCATCTGTATTTTTTAAACTCAACATTATGTTTTTGAGATTCATCAGATTATTGTGGTGTGGTTATAATTCATTGATTTTATTGTTTGTATAGTATTCTATTGCATGACTATACCTCTATTTACTCAATACTTCATGGACTTTTGAATTGTTTCAGCTTTTGGCTAATATGAACATTATATTAAGTTACATTTCCTTTATTACAAATAGGGCTGGTCATCTTTCATATGTCTGTTGGCTATTTGGAATCTCTTTTGTGAAGTATATATTCAAGATGTGTTTTTTTGACCCATTTCTCTTTGGACTTTTTGGTGTTCCTTACTGATTTACAGTCAGTTTTTATGTAGTTTGAACTCTTGTCAGTCTAATACACCCCAGATATTTTCTCCCATTCTGTGACTTGCCTTTTCACTCTTTTAATGGCATCTTTTGAAGAATCCTTAATTTTTAAAGTAGTCAAATTTGTAAGTTTTTCCCCTTATGATTAATGTTTTTTTTTGTCTTGTTTAAGAAATTTTTCTCTATCCCAGGGTTAAGAAGATAGTCTTCTGTGATGTCTTCTAAAAGCTTTATTATTATTATTATTTCCTTCATATTACTTTTCACATAGAACTCACCTGGAATTGAATATTTTGTATGGTGTGAGGTAGAGGTCTAATTTAAGATTTTCCTTGTGGATGCTCAATTGTCTCAGTCACATATATTTTAAAGACTGTTCTTTTCCCCATTGCCTTTAAATTTTACCTTTTTCATATGTCAGGTGTCCATATATACCTGGGTCCCTTTCAGAATACTCTATGCTACTCCATTAATACATCCTGAACCAATACTATGCTGCTTTAACTAAAATATTTTGTATTGGTATTGGGTAGAGCGAATCTACTCTCCTATTTTAAGTCTTCTTCATTCCTACATAAATTTTAGAATCTGCTTGTTGGGGTTTTAATTGGGAGCGCAGTGTCTAAATCAATCTAGGGTAGGGTTGGCATTTTTGTGATATTGAGTCTTTCAATCCATTAGTATGGTGTTTTCCATTTATTTAAGTTTTCCTTAATTTTTCTGAATAAAATTTTATAGTTTTATGCACAGAGGTCTTTTATGTTTTTATTAGATTTATTCCTACATACCCAATACATTTTTTTGATGAAGATATAAATGGTATTTTTTTCTTTTAATTTCATATTTTAGCTGTTACTGGTTTAGAGAAAAACAATTGATTTTTGTATATTAATTTTGTAATGAGCGATCTTGTGACACTCTTATTACTTCTAATCTTATAGATTCTTTCAGTTTTCTATGTACACAATCATATTATCTGTAAAATAATGATAGTTTTGCTCTTTCTTTTTATAACCTATGTCATATATATTTTTTCTTGTCTTACTGTATTGGCTAAAACTTTCACTACAAATGTTGAAAAGAAGTGGTTATTGAAGGCATCTTAGCCCCAATCTTGAGTTCAAAGAAATATGATATTTAATATTTTGCAATTAAGTTTGATGTTTGCTGAAGGTTTATTATAGGTACCTTTTTCACATTAAAAGATGCCCTTATATTTTTAGTTTGGTGATAGTGTTTATTTTAAACAATAAATGAATGTTATACTTTATGAAGTACTTTTTTGCATCTACAAAATAATAAAATTATTTTTTTTTGCTTTATCCTCTTAAGGCAGTGAATTACACTGATTGATTTTCTAATATTAAACCAACTTTACTCTTGATCTAAACTAAATTTAGTAGTAAGGTATCTTTTTATTTTATATCACTGGATTTAGATTGCTAATTTTTTGACTGGAATTTTTGCACCTACATGATATTCATCTGTAATTTTCCTTCCTTCTATTATGAATTTCAGTATCAAGTCTATGTTAGCCTCATGAGATGGGTGGAAGAATATACCCTCTTCCATTTTCTGGAAGAGATTCTAAGAGATTGGAGTTATTTTTCACTTAAAAGATTTTTGGAATTTACACATATGCAACTTCCTTACATAAAAAAGGCCATCCACAAAATTACATTAAAATATACACAATTACATAATTTCAATTTTATAAAATTCTAATTACACAAAATTACAATCCCACAATTACAAAAATTTATAAGTGGAAAATAACAATTAGAAAGAAATCACATCAGTTATAATTTTACAAAAATTACATAATAAGTTACAAAATTATATTATAAAACCTTTGCCAAGACAGAGTCTGGAGTCAGACTCTTTCCAGGATGAATCATGGCTCTGCTGACAGGCTGTGCAATCCTGTGCTACTCTCTTGACTTCTCTGAGCTCTCGGTGTCCTTATCTGTCATATGGATTTGTTCACAGTCCCTCTGCCTCCTGAAGGCATGAGGAGGATTAAATGCAACAACTGTATATAAAGCAGCCCTGAGCTGGGTACACAATAGGTGTCCAATAAATGGTAAGGATTTATATGATCATGTGTTAATAATTTGATTATCCTCTCAAGCATTTATTGGGCATCTATTGTGGGTCTGGCACAGTGCTGGGCACTAGGGATACACAGGAAGCAAAATTAGATGTGGTCTTTAATGCATCTGTAGCAAGGGTTCAGAGCTGTTCCCACAGTTGGATAATTTGCCCCCATTGAAGTGAAATGGATGCCAATGTTTATGGAACCATCTCTGAGTACCTCTGGTGCTGGATGAGCAAGCTTAAATGGAAGCAGTCATTTCTGCTGGGATCCCATTGCAGCCTAATACTGGAGCCTCTTTGGGAACTAAGAAGGGACAGCCATGTGAAAGGGCCACTTCCTTTAGGGAACAGATGAAGACGTTTTGTTTTTTATAACCCAGGTTCCCCGGCTGCATTTCTTTACAAGGGCCAATGGCTGTACCCAAAGATCTGTTCTCCATGTCTTCCACAATGTCTCTTCCTCTTCTTGCTAAAGGGGAGTTACTAGGAAACAGGTGTGCAGAGGTGAAGGACCCTCTAAAGACCCTGGCAATCTGGAAATGGAATGAATCCCAGCGGCCTGAGTCTAACCCCTCCTCCACTGGCTTTGGAGTTTGTGCAATCAGTAAGTGCCAGGTGACCCATGGGCTCCTCCACTACTCCTAGTAATCTTTGCACCAATGACTTGTTTTCTGCTTTCCATGGCTTTCTTTGATACCTGTTTCCCATATGGTTTTATGGGAAATACACTTGTTTGGTATGGGGATGAAAAAACAGTGGCTGGAGAATAAATCTTCAACTGGTAAGAATTATCTGGTAAGAAAAAGATTCAGGGTGTGATTCAGATTAATTTGTGTTTGTGTAAGGATTAGGACAGTGGGTCCCAAACTTCAGCCTGCAAAAGTATTACCTGGAAGGTATTTAAAAATACAGATACCTGGACCACAGTCCCAGAGATTCAGGTTCAGTTGGTCTGGCATGACGTACTGGATTCTGAAGTTCTAATATCAACACCATCAGTTCTCACATGAGCATCACCTTAGGGAGTTTCAAAAAATACCAGTGCCTGGCACCAACCTGGGAATGTCTGATTCAGTTTGTCTGGGGTGGGGCCACCGTTTTGGCCTCACTTCCTATAAAAGTTCTTCAGATGATTCTAATGGGAAGCCAGAGTTAGAGACCCCAAATGTTTAAAAAAGTGTCTTTTATTGTCCTGAAATGAAATTCATAGATAGTATAATCTACTTACACACATCACTAAAAAAGACAAAATAACATTCTTTCTGTAATACCAAGGATAAATAAAAGGAAATAAAAAATGATTTCTGGTAAATTTATGTACATATATATATATTATATATATATGTATATATATTTACTTGATAGGTAAATGCTTGGTTACAATTCTCTAATAGACATAATGAAGTGGTCATGTGTTTGTCCTGTCAGGAAGTGACTGCCGCAGCCCCAAATCCAGGCCGAGGCCGGAGTGTGGTGGTGTCAGTCACGCAGTCACCACGGACTGTGTGGTCATCCTCATTATCCTGCATGGCCATGGTTTTCTGCAACTGGTGAAAAACTCTTGGTGAAGTTCCATATATAGCAAAGCTTCCTGACTCACCTGTGGCCAGATTCCTGTACATTTCAGCACGTATTAGCCATAATATGTTGGGTAGAGTTAGGGTCTAGGGTAGGGAATTAGAAATAGGCTGCTCCCAGACTTGTGTTTCAGGCTGAATTTGGGGCATATCTACACACTAGCCTCCCTCCCCCACACCCAAACGCCAGTTCTGTGCACTTCACTGAGCAGCCTCAGACTTGCACAAATTGCTCACGCGTCCCTCTGAATGGGGACACAGAATGAAGAAGGAAAAGGAGCTCACTGAGATGTCTTCGGATGCAGGCTCACCTGCGCGGGCCCATCTGTGGTCGCCGGGGGACAAACGACCCCGCCTCCCCAATACTGACTCCCTTCCAGGCAGCAGGAGAGGCTGCAGGCTGCAGGCTGCCAGCCAAGCCCAGCCCTCGCTGCAGGTTCAGATCCAGCTCCCGCCCAGCACGTGTAGAAGGTCCTTGAAGAGGTAAAGGAGCTTCCCTCGCACCCACAGCACCCACGCAGCGCCCCACAGAGCAGTCCTGGAAACATTTAGCAATCTCTAGTGCCCTCTGGTGGCAAGTTTTTGTCATGCCAGGTACCAGGAGATTAATTTTTATTGTTTAAAAACCTGCCGAAGTTAAGTACACCTGGTGTGGTGGATCTCGGGGAGAACAGTGTAGCACAGAAAAGGCACATAGTGGATTTCTGATAACTTGCTGCACTGATGGACAGTGACTGCATTCGGGTAATGGTGGGGACTTGATAATATGGGTAAATGTAATAACCACATTGTTTTTTTCATGTGAAACCTTCAAAAGAGTGTATATCAATCACACCTTAATAAAAAAGAAACCTACTGAAGTAGACACAGTGCTGAGTGAAATGAGGTTGACACAAAGGGACAAATACTGTATGATTCCCCTTAGGTGAGGCACCCAGAGTCGTCAGTGTCATTGGCACAGACTGTAGAAGGGTGGGTGTGGGGTGGGGGAGGGGGAAACAGTTACTCTTTAAGGTGTATAGAGTTCAGTTTGGGAAGAGGAGAAAGTTCTGGATGTGGATGGGAATTAAGGCTGCACAACACAGCAAGTATACTTAATGTCAAGGAGTTCCAGACTTGAAAATGGATAAGATGGTAAATTTTATATTATGTATATTTTAACACACACACACCTGGACAAGTAAATTTCAGCCTGTATAGGTTTATAGAGTAACCAGTTTATAATCTCTTTCATTTTCTTCCCTAATTCCAATCCTGGAATTGGAAGAGTGGGCATCCTAGGAAGACATAGAAAGGTACACATATAAAACCATATATATATATATTGTATGTGTACATAGCAAATATGTTTTATATGTATCCATAAAGAGATACTTCATATGTATTTATATGTATATTTTATATTTTTATATATTTTTAAAGTTCATATATTGAGGTATATGTAGGTATATATACATGTTGTAGATATAGAAACTTTATATAAGTTTTAAAATACAAAGGGGATTTGATTGTTACTACCACGCAGTACTTTGCAGGGCAATGTAAGCTGAGTTATCTGCCTCTCTCTTCTGTTGATGGAGTATTTGGGTTGTTTTCATTTACCCCCCTTTACAAGAGTACCTGTACATGTGAGTCTGTGCACACATGTGAGGTTCTCTGTAGGATATTTACCCAGATGCTTCTAAGCTTCCTGTTCAAGTCAGAAACTTGAATCCAAAATGCAAAAGCTTGTAAAAATGAGAAGTGTTAGAGACCAGCCCTTGGCAGGAGTGAAGTGAAGGTGGGGGTTATACACTGAATGGAGGGGAAAGGCCACACAAGGTTAGTGATGGGAAGGGGGCCGATTATTTGACTTTGGAGAAGAAAGTGGATTTTTTCCTCTCCATCTATCCATCCTGCTTTCCCCTCTTTGGGTGTGGCCCCTGAGCCTTGCCAGCTTCCCCTTCTCCCTCGATTCCCTCTCTCTCCATTCTCTGCCATGCCATCCTTTTCCTGGCCCCACAGCCAGGCCAAGAGACCATTCCAGAGGGACATCAGCTGGTGACAACATGTTCCTCCTTCCATGGCTCTATCTTCCACTCTGCAGCTGCCTGATGCTCTCATGCCTGTGGCACCTCCCACTCATGTAACAGTGCATGCAGTTCTCAGGTAGCTAACAAGCAACGTGCTCCCATGTGTGCCCTGTGTTCTCCTGGCTTCACTCCCTTGCCATAGCTGTCCTCTCCCCTGTCCCACTATGGGTGTGTTCAGGCCTCTGAGCTTCCCTGCATGTACTCTGTCCTCCTTTGTGACAACTGTCACCTTCCACTGCGTCACCCAGATTTTTCACTCTCCCCTCCCACCATTGTAAAGGGGGCAGGACCCCTGTCTGAACTGTCATTGTAACCTCGGTGCCTGATGTACAGTACGTGTATGTTTTTGCAGCCAGTGGTCACACCAGGAAGCATTTCCCAGCCTCCCATTTCTCTTGACAATTGCATCATTCTTGGGGATGAGCTATACAACGTGGTGACTACAATTGATAATATTGTATTGTATATTTGAAAGCTGCTGAGAGTGTAGAATTTATAGATTCTCATCCTGAGAAAAAGAATTTGTGTGGTGATGGATATTAAGTAGACTTATTGTGGCGATCATTTTGCAATATATACAAATATCAAATCATCATGTTGTACACCTGAAAATAATACGGAGTTATATGTTAATTATATCTCCATAGAAAAAGAGAAAATTGTATCATCAAATCTCAGCAGATCCTAAATGGTTAATAAGAAAATTAACATGTGTATTGACTGCATTTTTTGTATTCTCAATGCTCTGCATTTGGAACTTTGGTCCTGAAGATGCTGCCCCTTCCAGGGCAAACATCCCCAACCATTTCCTTTATCGAATGCCTTCACACCAAGCCTATAATGTCCCCTGCCCTCAGACAGCCTATTCCTATAGCCCAGCTGCCAGAACTACTCAGACTGTCCAATCCTAGGCGCACTCGGGCACCTACCCTGCCTCACCCACTCCTTCCTATGAAAACCCCAATAAAGCCTCTGGGCCATGTTCTTTCCCCCATTGCCTCCTGACCTACTGTGGTGCTTCCCCACATGGCCCTCAGAGGAGTGTATAAACCTCTTCCTTCATGACAATCATTTCCGTGTCTGTGTGTCTTACCATACTGATTAGAACAAGCCTATGTCTGTTTTTAGAGCAACCCAGAAGCATATTCCTGTTACAGGCCCATACCAAGTTTTCTACTTTTTATAATCTTCAACTTGTATTACCATCCTATTTCCCCCAAAGTCCTCCACTGGCTCCAGTGAAAAAGACTCATCAAATTTTGGAAGAAAATAAAGGAATGAAATTGGGCACCTAGCTGATTTCAGCCCTTGGTTGAAGGTTAAAAAACTAGGTAGCTCAGGCCTGTGTCTTCCCTTGTAAGAGGGAGAATGAGGCAAGAATGGTGTGGAGGGGCTTTCACCAAGCTCTCTGCTACCATGGAGTTTTCTTGGACATCAGCAGTTTTCTCAGCTTGTGGGGTTACTGAAAGCACAAAAATTACAGATTGAAAACTTTCCCCAGCTACCCTTTGAAGCATCTTGGATAATGTCATTTAATCTCTGTAACCTCCCTCTGAAGTGTTCATGATCACGCTCTCTTTCACTGCTGAGAAAACAGGTCAGAGAAGTCCAAGTTCATGGGGGGACCTGAATTTGGCCTTAGACTGGATGATTCGTGGACCCCATCCATACCTGGCTCCATCCACCCGCCTGTGGGAATGCCACTAGCTCTATGCCATGTAGTGTCATTGTGGCAGATTTTACACATTTGAATTGCAGGGAATATGAAATAGTAAGATAGACATATATTAACAAAATTTTACTTTCTGTACAAAGCTTAAAATAATATGAAGTCACTCAAAAATTTGTTACAGACGGGGCTTTGGGGCAGATCATGTTTTCCAAAGACAGCTGCTTTTGCCCCCCATATTGCCTGTTTTTTTCACTGTCACTTGTCACTTTCTGAAAGGAGGTGGCTTAGTGACCCGGTTGTCACAATAGAATCTGCAGAGGTGAAGCTGCATGGCTTCTGATGAGGCTGGGGCAGAAGGATGCTGGGTCCTGAAGCTTTCACCTGAGCTTCTGGGAGGCTCACTCCTGGCATGCTTTACCCCAGGGCCCAGCTTGTGGATGCAGGAAGCGCACCCACCATGAGGCTGGCATAGGCACTGTGCTCTGCAGAAGTAGCTGAGTCTCAGCTCTTGAAATGCTGCCTTCCGCACACCATGGGGTGAAGGGGTTTCCCAGGGTGAGGGTGCAGCATCTACCATCCTGAGGCCCCGGACATCATGGCAAAGATGGGTAATTCCCATTTCCACCTTGTCTGAATTGCAGAACCACAGATCTGCAAGATGGGATTCCGTGAAATGCTCGTGGTTTTGCACCTCTACGTTTGGGGTGGTTTGTTATGCAGCAAGATTAATTGGTCAGGCCTAAAATCAAATGTGGAGGGTGGGGAGAATTGTAATTTACAATTTATAACTGTAAACTGTGGCAACTGCAGAGTTGACACCATCCTGCTGAGGCTTAAGGTGGCCACATTTTGGCTAAAATCACAAATACCTTCTGCTCTTTGTCTTCAATTATTTGAGGTTTGAATTATGGGAGGACTTCAAAGAGTATTATCTGATAAAGTACTGTTTTTAGTAAATTTCCTCTTAAATTGTCTCCTTTTCTTTTTTCTTCCTTCCTCCACCCCCTTTTCTCTTCCCTCCCTCTCCCCTTCTCCCCTTCCTTCCTTGGCATCCAGGAGTCAGATCAGGTGGATCGTTCAAGGGGCATCACATGTGCATGACCCCAGCTTTGGAGGACCCCAGCTTTCCGCGGGCCTTGCAGGAAGCTGCAGCGGGCTCAGGGATGACTGAGTGGGTCAGGGTGGCACCCACTGCCGGGATGCCTGGGGAGGCCAGCTGTAACATGTTTCCCAAGCACTGGAGTAAGGCAGTGACTTGGTGGTAATGAATCCTTCTGGAGGAAAGGGGAAATACTTCCATCTCATTATCTGTGAGATCTGGAGGCCCATGAGACTACTTTTCCTTAACCTGGCTGAGGAAGGGGCACCCCAGAGGAGAGCACAGTGGGCAGAAAGTTTTGGGTTCACGGTATCTACCCCTCTGGCCCAGCCACTGCCCTGCCTACAGACTGTACTGTGGATGGCACGCCCCTGGAGCTGTGCAGTGCTCAGCCTGGGCACCCATCTGTGCTAACCCAGAATGGGTTGATTTGTTAAAGAAAGAGTCTTTGCCACCAGATATACAGAGATACTGGATTTTATATGCAGAATTGGTATCTTTTAACAAGAAAAAGCTGAAAAAACCTGAAGAAATAAAAAAAGCAAAACAATCCATTCACCTGAATTGAGTACTTCCCATCTCCCCTTGTCTGGGGCTTCTCTGTGGATAATTGCAAAGACCTGGTTCTTCATACTCCATCCAGGAGTTCTAGACACAGAAAAACAGGGCCAGCACAGGGCAAAAGAGGTCTCTCCCCAAGGTCAGGACTGCCTTGAAGTTGATTCCTGAGACTGGGACCATGGTGA